CTAAACCAAAAGCACAGATTTTTCTCAGTTATTCATTCTCTTCTTATTTTGAACATTATTTACTCTTTCCCCCTCTAAAGAACATGTTCTTAGTTTGAGAGTCTATGCTGTCTCCGTGGGATGACCTAGGAGTAAACTTAAGAAAGTTCCCAAACCTCTGAAGTATATGTAAGTCTTGAGTTAGAAGTTCATCTGCACATTTGGACGGGGTGATGGTCTATATCTTTTATGTTTTATCCAGTTCTCAAAGTGATATGACTCAATGAAAGTGAAACCCACTGGCAATTGGAGCAGTTTCCAAAGTAAAATATAAAGATGCTATACTAGGGTAAGAGAAGAAAATACTAAAATTTCTATTTACCTTCATGTTCATAAATAAAATAAGCTTTACTACGATATCATAGTACATAGGCTTGAAAGCAGCGTATTAAGTCTATTTATCATAAGTATTACTAATATTTATATTATAAATACTTACTTTTGATATTTATAATATATTGTCGGTGTACTAAAATAGTTTACTCATAGTGTGCAGGAATCCAAAAAGCTGGAGAACACCACTTCAGATTGGTGAATATCATTTCTGTAATAAGATTTTACAGTGTGTCTTTAATTTACAAGGGGCAAGAAGTGAAGGGGCAGTAAATTCTCAAATACTGATATATTTTTATTTGCTTCAATTTTGCAAGATACAAGTTATTTGGGGAAGAAGGCAGCTCATTGTGAGGGAATAGTGCCTGCAGGCTCCACAGTCCTGAGTCATTGTGAGCATCTCTATTTCCCAGAATTCCATGACCATTGTCATTACAATTTTCCAAAAGGCTTCAGTTTGCTACTGTAGAATATTTGGGATTGTTCAACCTCCATAACAGCATTTTTTGTTTCTCCTCATTTTGTTTTAGTTTTCTGTGAAGCCAATTCATAGTTCTTCAATCAACACAGATGGGTTCGGCAACATTTCAGACTAAATGAATATCTTGGCAGATAATTTAAGATTTGGGCATTGTGCAAAGTCCTTTTCTGACAAGCAGCTTTCTCCACAAATGGTAAGGTTTACTGGCAATTTAATATTGTGACATTAAACACTAAAATTATTGAAAGGCAGCTCAAACTTATCTAAAATCTTGTACCAGAAATGTCTGATATTAACTCTTAGATCTGCCATTTAACATTTTGTTCTGGTTTCTATCCCAATGTTTAAGTCTAAAATATTAACATTTTCCTGAAACTAAGTATTTTATGATGAAAAAAAATACACTGATGCTAAAAGAAGTCTAGATTTTAGAATATCACTTTTTTCACCTTGTGCTATTTAAAAAACTTAAATCTATGTATTTATGAAGCTTTTCCTTTTTTTGCATGCACTGAATATGGGGAAAAGAGGGCATACAGAAGAAAGTAATGGAATAATTTTGGATGAAAAAGTGTGTGGATTGTGTGACTGTGTCAAAACAGACACAGGTGTGATAGGTTAAGAGGAAAGCTACTTAAAGAGAAATAGTGATGGCAATAAAATGTAAAATGTTTGAAGTGGCTGAAAGTAAGAATATGAAAGGAGTGCACACCATCAACATAATAGAAGAAGTCTTTACAAGGGACTCACACTGTACAGAACATCTGAAAGCAAAAACTTGCAGAGAAGAAAATTCAAGACAACAAAGACTACAACAGACTTGAATACTTCCCAAACTCCTGGCTTCTCAGCAGGATTCTTCCACTTCTCACTACGAGATACCAAGATTTCTCAGGATTTGTGAAGAAACCCAACAAAGAGCATACATTACAACACTGTATACCTCGGTTTAAAATTACATTTGTGTGTTCTCTGCTTCATAAAGCAAGCTGTCCCTGCTTTTAGCCTGTGATTAGACAAGGGAATTGCATTTTTCTATCATCTCTGCAGCACTGAATTTTTGTTTTGCATGAGATTAATCTTTATTTACAGGAATTGTAACACCTCTGGTGTAGCCTCCTCTAGTGACTGGCTGCCCACCTGTATCCTCATATCCCCCCCATCCTTCTACCCTTCAAATCTGCCTTCGTTTAACTTTTCAAGAACAGCCATTTAAGAGTGACACAGCATCAAAAGGCACAATCAGGCAAAGCAAACTCTTTATGTTTTATTGTTCAGTGAAAGGTACTGACCTAGCAAGCCACCCTAACAATATGTATCAAAGAGATTCCGTTTCACTGATTAATACTTATTTCTCCAGGTAAGATCCATACACTTTAAACTACTACAACAATTCATTAACACATTCTCTTTGAGGTTATTAACTGTTGCTTTAACAGGGATTTGCATGTGGCTTTCAAACCATTAGATAGCCCTAGACTTCCTTCAGGCTTTGTATGTAAAGCTCCATTTGGGCACTTTCCGGGTTGAGAAATGTCAGGGGGCCAAGTCCATCCCCAGAACTATGTGAAATAGGCAGTCTCTTTCACTGGCTAGGCCCTCCATAGAACACTGTGCTCCATCCTAGGACAGCTGCTAACCTAACCACAGGACAGGCCTGGAAGGGTCTGCCTTGTGTGACTGGTAATATCACAGAGAAGAATTTGAAGGAAAGGTTAGTAAAATGCTGAAGCAACTCTTCCTTCCTTCCTACCAAAGGATGTGAAGGACTAGTGGCCTTGGAAGTGATATGAAATTCCTATGCCAGACACCCAGCTTTATGTTCGTACTTTGGGTAAAATACCCAGGATGTAGCACAAACCGTTGTCTTCTGAGACACAGAAGAATGTTCACTTGGTCATCTATGCAAATAAACATCAACCCTTATCCATGCTGTTTCTGACACTGCCTTTCAAACACACACACATGATCAGACCATTTCTTCCTTTAGCCTTTGGTGTCTCCTTTGCCTACTGGTTTAAAAAGTGTTGGGGAAGGAAGTGGAAGCTAATGGTCTGCTTTTTTCTATTTTGCACTTTTTTTCCATTTGTAAGATTTGTTTTGAACAAAGGATTCTATGGAAATGAATAATGATGATGATGATTACCATCACCATCATCAAAATCACACATCTTATCATGAAAAAGAGCCCTCTTCATGATCTGTAGCTAAGTGATCTTTCTGTCCTTATCCCCTCCACCTCATCCCGGGAAACTTGCCACCTAGGACAGGCTATGCACCCCCAAGACTCCATTTCTTTGTGTGTGCTGGTTTACTTGCTTGGTTATGTCCTTCCCCCTCTGCTGGATGAACTCCTCTAAGACCAAGACACTTCTCCAAGCACTAAGAATTTTGAAATTATTTATCTTATGTTCATTTTTTATTTTCTTTTCTTGATAGAATAGGTCATGCCTTATCTTTGAATTCCAAAAACAGCATTATTCCTGGCACATGGTAGTTATTCAAGAACTGATAATTAAATAAATGAAAATGAGTAAGTGAACCTATTCATATTTAGGTTCAAACTTTGCCTTTTCTTACAAAATCTAGATAGAAATAAAAAGATGAGAAAAAATGGGAAGACACTTTTTAACTCTCTTTTTGCTTCTTGATGCAGACATCTTTAGAAAACAACCACAGAACTCTATGTTTGCTTAAGAAATAGGTATAAAGGCAAATTTATTTTGTGTACTGGACATTTAATAATTGGGCAAGAAGCTGTGAGTGAAAATAAAATAAAAAAATCAGGACAAATGAAACAGCTAGTGGAATTCTCAGGAAAAACCATCTGATTGAAAAGTAGTCTTGGGCCCTAACCAGTTTGGCTCAGTGGATAGAGCGTCGGCCTGCGGACTCAAGGGTCCCAGGTTTGAATCCGGTCAAGGGCATGTGCCTTGGTTTCGGGCACATACCCAGTGGGGAGTGTGCAGGAGGCAGCTGATTGATGTTTCTCTCTCATCGATGTTTCTGACTCTCTATTCCTCTCCATTCCTCTCTGTAAAAAATCAATAAAATATATTTTTAAAAAAGAAAAGTAGTCTTGGGACCCCACATTATTCTTATTATTTTTAAAGTCTTCACCTGAGGATATTTTTCTATTGATTTTTAGAGAGAATGGAAGAAAGTGGGAGAGACAGAGAGAAACATTGATGTGACAGAGACACATCAATTGTCTGCCTCCTGCACCCACCTCAACAAGGGCCAACGCTCTACCTACTGAGCTAAACCAATGGGGACTAGACCCACATTATTTTTTAGGATAGTTATTCTGGCAACAAGATTCAGAACTCTTGCCCTAACTGGTTTGGCTCAGTGGATAGAGCATCAGCCTGAAGACTGAAGGGTCTCAGGTTTGATTCCAGTCAAGGGCATGTACCTTGGTTATGGGCACATCCCCAGTAGAGGGTGTGCAGGAGGCAGCTGATCGATGTTTCTAACTCTCTATCCCTCTCCCTTCCTCTCTGTAAAAAATCAATAAAATATATATTTTTAAAAAAAGATTCCGAACTCTTAGCCCCCCACCCTGTCATAGGCCCTCTCTGTCCATTCTTTTCTCCATCCTCAATTCCACTCCTGAAACAGAGCTCCTATTTTGGTCCCTGTTTCCTTGAGAACATACCTTCCAGATTCTCTGCTCCTGGCTACCGTCAGTGGTCTGGATCTGGAAATGTATCCATAACCTCTATCCTCCAAATTGAATAGAAAGGGAAAGGAAATTCCTTCAAGTTTTTAGCACCCCGTTATGGACTTTGAATGCATTCTATCATGGGAATGTTGTATTTTCATCTTGCTTAAGGTCCACAAAGTATTCCATAATTAATGAGCCTTTATAGGCTGGCCTGGGGAACCTATCACAGATTATTTCATTTGTCTGGGAAAATACATGTTTGCTGACTTTTTTATTTAGATAAAATGTCAAACTTATAGAAAGGTTGTAGGACTAGTACAAGGAATTCTCAGATAGCTTTTACTCAGATTATATTTTCCTCTATGGGTTTTGGGGTGAACTCACACACATTAGAAACACACACAGAAAAAAATATTTGTGAATTCTAATTAGCTTAAAAACTTAAGAAAACAAATTAACAAATTGGGGTCTGCTTAAATATTTTTATAAAGGTGACATTTTATTGTATGCCTTTAAATTTCCTTTAATTCCTATTATTTTCCCTATACTGAGGGTTGCATTACAGATGGAAAAATGTATTTGTCTTTATTTCCCTTTTACGTATTTTTATTAACTTCATATCATTGTAAGATTGTAACTATATTTTCCCAACACCTATACAATAAGATTGGTATTTAATGAGACACATTAAGTCCTTTAAAATATTGGGGAATCAGTAAATAATAATCATTGTAATATCTATAGTGGTACACATGGGATACTAAAGGCCAATCAGTAATTACTTTTTATTCCTGAGGTTACTATGGGGTAGCCTGGGAACTAGTGAAAATAATTAAATAATTTTTAAATTGAATTATTTTTTAGAACCCCAAATAAGAGTTCAGTGTATCTATGGCTCTGCTAATGGTGATTTAAAAATGATAATGATCATTTTTCTCTTGCTTTGAAGTTGAGCTCTTTTAAAATCAAAGCCCTATTTAGGTTTAGTTCACCAGAGATCTTAGACTAACATCATTAAAAATTAAAGTTCAAGCTCCAGAAAAAAATGTTTAAAATTTTCCATAATAAAATCACAGCATAATTTTCTTCATCAACACTAACATTCTATTTAAAGAATATCATTGAGATATTTCAACTAGAATAAAACATTCACAGATGTGTACTTAATGAGACCAAAAAAACCCACACAAAACAAAACAAAAAAACCCCTCATGATTCTTAGGAAATATACACACACTAAATTATTCAACACAAGTATTTAAAAATACAGTCAGAAAAAGAACAAGTCTTATTTCCCACTTGTGAACTTAGATTTTCTTATTGGAACTTTATATGGCTCAGCATGGCAATAGAGCATGCCTGCTGAAATAGAGCCCAATTCCTCTGTGTGTTGTGAGGTGGGGTGGGGTGAATGTATGCATGTTGTAAATATCTTGTTTCTGTATTTTATAGTTTGTTCCCTAAATGCTTACTTTACTCCCATGTTGCTTCTGGTTAAATTAAATCAGAATGATATTGCATTTCAATATAGGCTATAAGCCTCTTTTATACTGAATACTGTAAAATAGAAATGAATGAATAAGAATGAAAATGCTAATATGAATTAAAATAGCCTTTACCATATATGGAATAAAAAATGTCAAACAAAAGGAAACATTTATTGTTAATGACACATTATGTGGTGGAGAATATTTTTATAAAATAATCTTTGATATTTACAGAAGACCTATTTTATATTCATATTGCATCTAACCCAGAATTCCTTATTTCCTTAAAAATAAAAAAAGAAAAGTGCAACAGAGAAAAACCTCAATCTATTTTGTTATATAAGCTAAAAATTAAATGAGAAAATGTAATAAAATTCAGAGTTGAAAAGTTCCAAGAGCTTATGGTATTGAAGACTATAATTTCTGTTCAAAAGCTTTTGTAAGGCAATGCTATCACAAACACACTCTAATAACCATAGCATTCCACCAGGACACAAGATTGCAAGTGACTCCATCACATTGTATAGGTTGCTACAATTACCTGATATATGTACAATGTGCTAAATTTTGAGTACAGATAATAAGTGATATATAACAGAAATCTCCCCCAAAGGTCACTTTTCGAGGTTTCTTTTTTTTATTTTCACTGGAGAGCTGAAGTATTGAAGTGAATACATGTTTGTCATGTTAAGTGGAAGAATAAGTAGATCGTGAGCTCCTGAAATTTTAATACTGTTTTTATCCATCTGCATCCTAAAGTGCTCTCAGAGATTCCACACATGCTCGAAGGAATCAAACCCCAAAGACTAATAATCAAGGACATATTTTGCTAATCTATTCCTGATGCTTTGCCTAAAAAATTGGCATTGCCATCTTCAACATTTCTCTTTTGGAACCATGGTTTTGAATTTGTTCCTTGTTGATAAGCTTCCAGAAAATGACAGATTCCCGGAATTTCACTGGGGAAGTTTGGTGGAAGTTCCTCCCTTGATCGAGGGGTAAAGACAAAACCTGGACAGTCCTTGAGTAATCTGAAAGAGTAAAATAAAAGTATTACCCTATATGCAAGAAAAGACAACATAAATAAATGAATATTCCTCAAAATATTAATAAACCGTGTTCGCTGTGATTGACATAAAGCTCCTAATGATGTTAACAAACATCTTCACAGAAGAAGTACAATGGCAAAACAATTCACAACCACAAGAAAATTCTACCCAAATAATGCATTTCACTCATATTCGAAAAATTAATTTTAAAATATTTTGCAAAGATATAATCTATAATCTCAATAACAGTATAATTCACAGTAATGGGGGAAACCCCCAAATAATCCAAAGGTCTAACAATAGCAAAAAAAACAACACCCCATAAATATAATGTTATAGAATAAGTCTTCCTAAGTTGAAAGAGTTAAAACATTGCCATTTATCAATTCATTTATTTTGTAAATATTACTGAGAAGTACTCATGGGCAAGAAGTTATAAAGGAAAAGTTCTACATAAGCTTTATGCATATGTATAAAATACTGTAAGAAGAGCTTTTGATCTCTCAATAGAATTTTTACAAATCCAAGGTTAATAGGACTAAAATGAGATTTAATTGTACATACTGATACCCAATTTTTTTTATTTGCTACTACTTCTTCATTATGCTAAACTCATTTTAATTACAATCCCACTGGTTAAGTTACTCATCTTTCTATTTGCTTCCCTAGCTTTCTGTCAAATGCAAACTTAATAAGCATCTCTCTAATCTATTATTTAGGCCATGGATGAAAAATGTTGAATAATTCTGGAATCAAAACCAACTCCTACAGAAGATTAGATTACTCATCACATCTACCCAACTAGACCATGGCCTTCTACTGATGTTTTAGTCATGAATTCATAAATGTTTTTGGCCTATTATTTATAAGGCATAATATTTGGTGATATATAAAAAAAGTTACAGAATTCCAAAGTATAAGCTTCAAACTCTGTTGTTGAATAGCAACAAAGATGTCAGTTTTCTAACTTTGGAAAATGGGGATAGTTGTGAAAATTAAATAACTCAATTACAAAAGACTGATTAAACATCAATTAGATATCACCTAACATTCATCATATTGGTAACAATTAATTAGTCTGATAATATCAAGCTTTGGAGAAGAGAAACAAACCTTCATACATTGTTGGTGGAATACAAATTGGTAGAAGCAATTTGGGCAGCTAATTGATTTTTAGTAAAGTTGAAACAGTACAGCCTATGATCTGGGAATACCATGTATAGGTATAATATCTAGAGATATATGTGTAAGAATATCAAGTCACTTTTATAATAATGAAAACCTGATATACTCTAATTAACCTTGGGGAGAAGATAGATTCTTGCTTATTCATACTCTAGAATACATATTATATCACCTGCACATATAGTGACATAGCAACATACTTGATTTGGCTTGTCCTGGCTCATGAGAGTGAACTTTTAACATTCAAGAATTTTGCAAACTATCAGTCGCCTAAAACCTGCCATGGTAGGAGTATTTACACCATAGAAATTGGTAAATTCTAGAAATCAGGGATTCTCCACTTTACTTCCCAAAGCTGGTTTACCAGTACACCCCTGCATTAGAAATAGCCTTAATAAATGAACTAGATTTATAGGACCTAGATTTACATTTCATCAAGAAAAAAAAATCTCCAAATATGTTGAGTAGGTTCAAGGCAAGTTGTAAAAGAATATGAACAGGGCCAGTGGAAATTTACTTTTCTCTGACTTTATATTTTTTTTTAATCTGGAGGAACTTAAATGAAAAGAGTTACACTTCTGGCCTCTTTCTGCCCATTTTCCTTCCTGGTAAACAGAGCAACATGAGCTATTTCTCTATTCGGTGCCTTCTAGCCTCTCTCTTTAGGAGCCTGCCTGTCTTCAGGAAGTACACGTTCTCAGATGTTCCTACAAACCTTAAGGGATATAAAGTCCAGCATATCAGAGAGAAAATGGGGGCCAGGAGCCTGTGATATTTTGTTTCTTTCATAAAACAGGGTTCTGAAACAAATATGGCAAAATGTTGACATTTGTTAAATATTAGTATTGGTTACACGGTATCATGTTCTTTAAATTTTTTCTGTATGTTTGAAATATTTACAAATTAACTATAAAAATGAATATAACTATAAGGGTTTAATAAATAAAAATGTATAAAACTATAGGTGATTGGTAAATTAAAAAAACATTTTTATGTCCATATTAGCCCAACATCTCCTATTAGTAAGGTAATTATAATCATAACCTTTATATCACTTGAATTTGTTAAGTGCTTTGCTCAAGATCTCACATCTGGTATTTGGAACTTGTAAGACACGTCTTCTGAATACAAATCCCAGGCTTTTGAAATAAACTTACAGATAAACACAAAATGTCAAATGAGAAATGACACTCATTTCTCATAAGACATGTTCATTAGATCATCTTCAAAAAAAGTTCAAAATTTGTAAGAAAAATAGATTGGAAAAATAAAACCATTTAATGAATTCTTGATAGCAGAAAGATTCAAGAATCGCAGCCACAGGCCCAGGGCAGATGTCCACATGAGTTAGAAGATGTACTTTACTCCCTCTTGAACCAGTTACCATTTCCCCCAATGAAATAGTAAAAGAATAGAGTTTAGGTGGTCAGTGCAATCAGTACCTGTAGGTTGTTGGGCTGACGTTGATTTTCCGTGGTACACTGCAGGACTCAAATTTGTTAGCCAAGGTGACATTGTTTCCAAAAAGACAGTAACGGGGCATCTTAACTCCAACAACTCCAGCAAAAACCGACCCAGAATGCAGTCCAATTCGCATCTGAAATCAAAAAACGTACCACAATGTTCCTGGTCATGGGTTAAAATTCTTCCCACTTGTCAGTGTTGTTTGAATGCCCTGTCTAAAGTATTGTAACAATTGCTCTTAACCACACCACTCCCTCCTTCCTCAAACCTCAGCCAACTTCCCTCTACTCACAGTTGATTAAAAATCATCGGAGAAGAATCAGCTACACCTCTTAACTCTTCTCTACTTATGCCCTTAGGTTTATTGCACAAAGCACTCTTATTTCACCTCTCTTCAGTATCTGAGACAGATTTCCACGCATACCTATCGCTGTCACCACCGTGACAAGACAGTGTCTATGGGTTGTTTATGTGAAACTGCTCTATCAAGTGAGATAGACATAACTTCTGGATTACAGTTGTTTTCCAAAACACAGTCAGAGAGGAGCAAAAGTTGCTAGCTCTCACTATATAAAGTGTACATTCTGAGGAAAATAACTTTATGCCAAACATTACTCCACTATTCAAATGACTAACAACTAGAGAAAGGGAATTGCAATATTTAAGTAAAAAATAACACAGGAAGCAGGAAGTGGTTGCTGAGACCCAGATTAGAGGCGGGGGGCAGGGGGGGGCGCAGAGAGAGAAAAACATCCATTTGTTGTTCCACTTATTTATATATTCATTGGTTGATTCTTGTACATGCCCTGATGGGGGATAGAACCACAACTGAGCTATCAGCCAGGGTAAGCCTGGGCTTTGAAGCCAGATAGACATAACTCCAAATCCAGATGCATGGGAGACTTGACCACTTTTGTACACCAGTGAATTGTAGTTTCCTCTATAATGTTGTTGTAAATATTAAATGAGATGATGTTTGTCACAATATGCTCCCCTGCCCCCAGTACACAATAAGGTTTCTCTCTCTACTGAAAATGCTCTTCCCTTCTGCCTCTGTGATGTTTCGTAGGCAGCTCCTAAAGCCATCAGATAGTCCCGAGGACTGCAGGTTAGAACAAATAAAAGGTATGCTTAACATCTCACTTTACAGGTCATTAAAGCTAGTCTCTTATTACTCAGCTAATTGTCTTTGAAACTAGCTATAAATAATTCCTCCAGTTGCAAAACTCTAAAAATACATTTCTACAAATAACAAAAATCCCCCTGGCTCAAACATACACATTTTAATTACAAAATCCATTTATGTGGAAACCACTGATTTTATTGTTAATGTGGATATTTTGAGCATTTACTTTGATACTATGATTTTCCTCATCAAAACGAGAGAGAGAGAGAGAGAGAGAGAGAGAGAGAGAGAGAGAGAATTAAAAGTAAGATGCTGTGATGATTTTATTATTATTTTTTATTTGTTAATCCTCACCCAAGGATATTTTTTCCATTTATTTTTAGAGAGAGTGGAAGGGAAGGAGAGAGAGAGAGAGAGAGAGAGAGAGAGAGACAGACATAGATGTGAGAGAGACAGTTTGATTGATTGCCTCCTGCACGCACTCCAACTGGGCCGGGGATTAGCCTGCAACCGAGGCATGTGCCCTTGACAAGAATGGAACCCGAGACCCTTCACGCCCTTCAATCCCTTCAGTCTGAGGGCTGACGCTCTAACCACAGAGCCAAACCGGCTAGGTCTGCTGTGATGCTTTTAAAACAGCCACAATTTATCTCACACTCTCCCCATTAAGACATGAGCTCTATCTCCTCCCCTCTGGGCAGGCTTATGATTGCTTTGACCAACAGAATAGAATGGAAGCATCACTGTGTGTCTCCTAAGGTTAGGTCATAAAAGGCCATGCTGCCACCAATCAAGTTCCCTGGGACATAAGCCACCATGTAAGAAGTGTAACTACTCTGAGTCTACACCACGTAAGCACATGGACTGACAGTCCTAGCTGAGCCCAACCTTTCAGCCATCGCCAGTGAGCAAGGAACCAGGCATGTAAGTGAAGCAGCCACGTCAGAATGGATCCTCCAGCTTCAAGTGGTACATCCAGCTCTTCTAATTGCCCTCAGCCCTTTGAGTGTTCCCAGCTGAGGAACCAGAGACTGTGGGCTGAGGTGTGGTACCCCTGTTATGCGTCATCTAATTTCCGATGCACAGAATCCATGCGTAATAAAAGGTTTGTATTTTTACAGAACTAAATATACAAAATGTGTCACACTGTAACATGTAACTGGAAAGACAGTCGACTTGTAAAACCAACATGATGACTTGCATGTATGGTGTCTACTAATCATGACGAGGGCCAAGACTAAACTTCTAAATAGTATAGTTTTTGTTTTTTTCTTCCTTCTCCCTATATCTAGAGCATACCAGGTAGGATTCTATTCCCTTCAAAAAGGCCCACTTCTGAATCATCAATTGAGGCCTATTTGATAAAAATGGAGTGCCAGATTGACTACAGTGCTACAAATAAACATAACCTGCTCATGTTCTGTCTATTGAACCAATGCCTAGTGTGTTAATTTTATTTTTCATGTGCAATGAAATATTATTCTGGAGTCTGACTGATCTAGACATTTTAGAATTTTATGTGTCCTGGAAAATACTGGTGGATTAACAGTCACATTCATTCTACTGTGATGTCCTCCCCTGCAGTTACTGGAACACTAAAAACTACATATTCCAAACTCCCTGGCAGCACCTAGATGCATTTAGGTCCAGTGACTCAGAGCCACGTGCATGAGATTTGGGAGCCACGATTTCTGCTGGGACTGCACTTGGGATGCTTACAAGTAGGGAAGCTTTGGGTTTTCTGTGGGTGCTTAGTGGAGAGCCCAGTTCCCAGGCGCTCATTTTGTGAGGGTCAGGATGCAGGAATTCACGTCGCTGATCCAGATTAGAGGAGGTGCGTGTAGTTGTGTTCTGTAGCCAGCAGCAGAGGCAGCAGCTTTCAGAACACAACCTTTTCCTGACTGGCTACGGTGGTATAGTTCTGGAGCCAGCTTCCCGACAGAGGAAAAAGCAGTGGCGCTGAAATGTGGCTTTAGGACCCATTTTTAAAAAGCTTAACTTATAGATGGCTTCTTTGGTCCTCCCAATGATTCTGGGAACCATTCCATACCAGGTGGTAAATGTTCCCCTGCTTCAACAAGTGAGAGTTTGCTCTCTGCAACTAAACCCCGACTGATACACCATTCTTTAAAGAGAGGAAGGGAGCGGGAGAGAGAGATGGAAACATCAATGATGAGAGAGAATCATTGATCAGCTGCCTCCTGCATGCCCCCTACTGCATGCTCCCTGCAACCTGGGCATGTGTCCTAAACGGGAATTGAACCATGACCTCCTGGTTCATAGGTTGACGCTCAAACACTGAGCCACACAGGCCAGGCACACCATTCTTTTGATAACTAACTAAGCATTTATTCTCATTTCCTGGACAATATATGATCTAGTTTACCTTGATAGGTTCTCCATGGGGAGACATGACTTCATCAGAGAGCTCCATCATCTTGAGGGCCATCAGTGCTATCTGAACAGCATGGGTATCACTTTCTTTGTGTAATCCCCCAGCCACACAATATGCATCGCCAATGGTCTCCACCTGCGCATAACAGATTTTCCACATTACAAATAAAAAGCTCAGGAAGAATTATAGCATATAATTTACAGCAGAAATTAAGGATCATATAGTAACAATCTCAGTGTTCTTTGTCTATGATACTGGCTATAAAAAGCTAACAATTAATTTAAATCCACCAAATTGTAATAATCACATTTTTCTTTTCTAAATATTTATTGTAACTTATCAAATCATCTCATTCTTCTTATCCACAGCTTCCAGTGTGGAGAAATGGAGGTGAGAAAAGGAAAAAGAGATGTAAACGTTTACTCAGAATAAATGCTGAAACCCTTATAAGGTGCCAAGTTTCTTCTTGACCAGCTTTTCTGCTAATTCCTGACACTCCCTGTTGCTCACTTTGTCTCAATACCACTGGCTTCTCCTGTTTTCTCTCAAATATACCAAACAGGCTCCTACTTGCTATCCCTTTGCCTGGAATAACCTTTCTGCAGATAACCATTTGGTTTGTCCCTCATTTCCTTCAGCCCCTCCAAAACATCTCCTTATGAGAAAGGTTACCCTCTATGAAACAGCAATCACTTCTCACCCTTAACCTGCTTTATTTTTCTTCCAGAATATTACACGACATGAAATACTATATATTTACTCATCTGTTTATTGTCTTACCCCCGCCCCAGTAGAATGTAAGCTCTCTGAGTTTGTCTATTTTACTAATTCCTATCAGTGCCCAGTATGTTCACCAATGAATGAACCAGGCAGCAATGCCTCCCATAAGCTTTGGCTCAGCAGTGAATATATATGAAGTGCTTAACTGAAAGGCTAACATATCACAAGTGCTCAAAAAAGTGTTACTAATTAGAAGGAGAACCCTCACCCCTACTTGTGCCCATTCTCTGTGCTATTATAGCACCTGGTCCAGACTTGTGTGAAATTGGGCTTAGTAGGTCATATGGAAACCTAGTATTTGCCAGTACCTCCCACCCCTCCACACATACACACACATGTCAACTCTTCTCACAGGGATTTTGCCCACCCATGCTGGAAAATGCTGGATAAGCAGTAGATATTTGCTAAAACAATAGATAAATAAATACTAACACAAAAAGATGACCAAAAGATGAAATGCTGGAAAATGAAGTTAAATAAAGTCCTGGCATGATCAGGTCCCTGAATAAATAAACTTGACTATTCCTTGGAAGCCATGACACTCATAGGTCGGCCTATGATTATACATTCTGTGTATCTGAAATTTATTTAGTCATTAAGACCCTCCTTACTTATTTACAGCTACCTCTATGTATTTTCATGAGAAATCAGAGTGGAGAGAAGGTGGGCATAAGGACAGGAAAGAAGGTGATTGACGAGCTTAGGCTGCAGTTGGGTGAGTCAGGGAACTCTATGGCTACCATCCTGGTAGTAAGGAGGATAGATTCTAAATACTTGACAAAATAACCAATTTTGTCAAGTTTCAACAAGTTGAAGAAGAGGACTACTTCTTCTGACATCAATCTCAGTAGTTTGCCAAGAACAGCAAGCCTTCCTTCTCACAACTCTGCTGAGAGAGGAGACATTCTCAAGATAGAAACTGTCTACAAAAAAATACAGCGGATTCCACAAGAGGCCATCAAGCTTAACCTAACCAAAGCCAATTATTTTATCTGTAATTATCCATGAGCCTATTTTTGTCCCAAGGGATCATAGCTCTGTCTGGAATTTCCTGTTAGAGTTTTTAAAGGAAGTTTTTTTTATTTTCTCATTTTGTTTTTACTTCTAGCATCTAAATTGAAAAAAAAAGCAGGGTCTTGTATATTCCCATAAATAATTTTTGTTTCTCCTTAATCATTTTGTATTGGGTTAAGTTCTGAAATGCCAGATTGTTATGTGGCAAATTAAGAGTTGATTTTAAGCCACGCAAATGAGAGGCATGCTTTGTGCTTAATGATAATGTCTAAAACAAGGCAAAATATGTTATATCAGTAAAAAATATATATATATAATTTTACTTCTAAAGGCAGAACATGAAATCTCTTCATTAGTTCTTTCTTTTGACAACAGTTACATTTTAAAAGTGGCTGATTACATGTTGGGGACAATCACTGTGCGTCCCCAGTGCCTAGAATGATGCTGGTACATCCTGAGCACCCCAAAAATCCTGCTGCCTGATGAATAACAGATATTATTTACCATAATATTTATAACAATCCCGCTCATAAAGCTTACAGGACATATGTAGGTTTATTCATATAAACCCTTTGGGTAGATAATATTTTCTCTTTCACAAATGAAACACATCAGGTAGAGACAAGATTTGAAGACAGGTCTCTCTTATTTAGGTATCTCTGCCCTCGGCTGCTCTACAATAAAGCCGTAAGTAGGTAATTTGAGTTTCTGCTAACTGGCCATAAAAAGTATCATGTTAACTCTGAATTGAATTAATCTATTTAAATAGGAGTTGTATAATCCTCAGGTTTCTTTACTTTTACAGGGACAAAGGATAAACTTTCCCTGTACAAGAGATACTCTGAATTATACCATGCTTAGCAACTCCACTCAGTTCCCACAGTCAAGTGTCATGTTCATTGACTTCTAAACTTCACTTGCTCATGGGTCCTGCACCCCATCCTCCACTCCGTCTATCATTCCCCATTCTATGCTTATTCCTTAAGAAGACAATGTGGCAGGCTTCTCATGGAATCCTCTCCTTTTCTGAGCAAATTCAGAGCTATTTCTGGCTGCCGAACACCCAGGTGATTAATGCACAATGCCTACTCCCAGGATGTGGCTCCCAGGATGGCCTTTCGTTTGCTTTATAACTCAGATCCTAGTTACAGTGCTTTTTCTCAGTGACTTTTGCCTGGAAAATGGGCCCCGTCCTGCTCCACCCCTACCTTGTAGACATCCAGCTCTCCGCACTGCTGGTCAAACCGGGTGTAGAGCGCATTGAGCATGGTGATGACCTGCAGCGGCGAGCACTGGGAGCAGATGGCAGTGAACCCAACAATGTCTGAGAACAGCATGGTGACGTTATTGAACTTCTTGGCTTGCACAACCTGCCCTTGCCACAGCTGCTGCGCCACCTCGGAGGGAAATATAGAGCACAGGAGATCAACTGTCTTCTTCTTCTCCTCCTCCAGGGCTTGGTGGGCTTGCTCCAGCGTGGCCTTCAGTTTTCCCAGCCTCTTCTTCAGGCCATCTTGAGCTCTGGCCTGTTCTCCAATCAAGACCACATCCCTCAGCGCATTGTGAATTGGGATGTCTGAGAGGTAGAGCCCTCGTCCTGTAAAATCTTCTAATCTGTCCACGCAGGGTGACCCCAAGAACAAGATCGCATTGGATTCAATGATGTAGATCATTTGGCCTTTGAGGTCCATAACCTGTGAAGCAAAGGAGAACCAATTGCTGTGACCAATTCAAGTTTCCAACATTTTTGGAGACAAAAGGAGAGGAAGTAGATATAGTGATCATCCCTTTGTATTGTACTTGACTTTTTTTTCTACCTGCTGACCAAGAACAATATATTTTCATATAGTTCCAATTTACTGTGAGTTCTAAAAATGTATGCAGGTATTTGAAAAGTATACTTTACACATAGATCATACTTTTCAATAAGCAGTGCAAACAATGCTTCCTATAAGGCTTCCTCAGTAAGTGGCATGTGACTACTTCCTTTTGATAGGAGCAGCCAGCAGAAACCATTGCGCCAAGGGAGCCTTCAGGGAGGTGAGGCTTCAAGTGATCATCCTGGATCACAAGATTTACTGGGATGAGTGTGGACAAATATGTACATGTGTGTTGCTCACTGCGGCAGAGCCAAAAGCAATCCAAATGTCCTTTTCAGAGCAGATGATTACATGGAGGACAACCTTATAATGAATACTACACAGCTTTTGAAAAGTGAAACAGCCCTATATCTAATGACATGGAAGGATGGCCAAAATAGATTGTTTAGTGAAAAAAGGAAGTTATAAATAGTATTATTTTTGTTTTAAACAAAAATGTATAATCCTCACGTTTCTTTATTTTTACAGGCTCAAAATTTTTCCCTGTATAAGCACACTCTGAATTACAGCATGCTTGATAACTAATGTCATTGAGTTTTTGTTATTGTTGCTACAATGGACATCTTTCATTATTACCAAGTTTTTAAATATTTAGTTATACAATTTTTATGATAAAAAGCAATAAAGCTGTTTTAATTTTGGGGAAACAGTGTGTCTGCTGGGGTTATACATGACTAAAATTGATATGCACCATAAGCCTCTCTATTAGCTTAGCTGTACTATTGACTATGACTTAGCAAACTTTGTAAGCTAAGAGTAAATAATTACCAAAGTTCTCTACCAGGAGGAGACAGAACATTTCTCCCCACATCCTCTAACAATTAATCAAAAGGTATTGATTTTTCCATTTATTGAATATTGAGTAAAAAAATTTACTTAGTTGGCTCCTATAAGAAAAAAACAGTAGTTTTGTTTGTTTGTTATAGAAAAAGACCTCTTATTCCAAATTAAGTCAACTGATGATGATTGCAAGCATATTTTATATAAATATTTTTATAATTCAGTTGTAAAATATTTCATAAAGATGTTAAAGGGTAGATTACATTCAATGAATATTTGTGAAGTAAGGGTCAAGTAGAGAAGAAATACATGCAGAAAGGACCTTATTTTAAATTTATTTCAGCCTTAAAAGTATTTTAGAATTATTTTTAAATATAAATGTTTTAAGAAAACATTTGAAGTGATGCATTTGCATTTGTACCATTTTTTTTTGTTTCTGGTCCTTAAATATGAAATAATTGATTTCATAATCAAAATGCTATTATGTTTCTCTTACCCTTGAAGATTTCTTCACAGAGTTGTCCCATCTCCTCACTCGGACCACAAATTGCAAATTCAACATAGTCATGATTCCGCTAAACGTTTGGTTGACTTTTGGAGTGAGAATATCAAAGTACTCTTCAAAATTAGGCTTTCCTTGAAAGTCTCGCCTGTTCATCAGCCTCCTGATGCCATTGCCAAATTGCAGAATTGTCATGTCTTTGTCAAACATGAAATGGAACGGGAATGTCTTACAGAAGAGAGAAGCAGGAATGACCAGTGAGGACTGGGGTTTGCCCGGGGACAGGGATGGTTTGGTGCTTGTGACATGAACGGAGTACAACAAATAGGGCTGATTAACAAACTCACTGCCATCGTTGTGGAAGCAGGAAGGCATTAATGACACTTCCACTTCGGTTTCGTACAGGATGTGAGCAGCTGCCTTAATGATGCCCGGAAGAATCAGGGACGTGATCTTCTTCGGAAAGAAATAGTAAACGTTTAAGAAATCGTGGTCCTTATCCAGACAGAGAATGGAGGCAGCCTCCCGCCTGCCTTTCTTCTCTGCTTCTTGGCAGTGGCTGCTCTGCTTCAGGAGGGTGCTGAAGCTATTTAGGAAATCTTTGAGGGTTCCTCCCACCACACCCAGGATGTGTTCATCTTCCTCATAACATATTTTAAAAATCTCTTCACCGAGAGATGCTCTGATGCTCTCCACCGGAACTCCTGAAAGCAGATAACACATGTCCTGCCATGTCAAATAGGCCAGTGTGGGAGAACTGTGCTGTTACAACTATGGTAGACATTGTTTTATTTGATGATTTCATTCCTTTTATATCTGGTAGTAAGAATGCCAACCCAAATTAACCATCTATATTCTAATTATCGATATAGATGAGTTACTAAAATTCTGGTAATGCTGACTAGAAATCCCAAATCACTTCTTTAAAAAAGAATGATCACCCGGCCGGCATAGCTCAGTGGCTGAGCCTTGACCTATGAACATGGGTGGCCATGGTTTGATTCCTGGTCAGGGCACATACCCAGGTTGCAGCCTCGATCCCCAGTAGGGGGAGTGCAGGAGGCAGCTGATCAATGATTCTCTTCCATCATTGATTGATGTTTCTGTCTCTCTCCCCCTCTCCCTTCCTCTTTGAAATCAATAAAAAAAATTTTTTTCAAAAAAGAATGATCAACTGAATATAATGTACAACATTTTATCCCCCTAAACTTAGCTAGAAAAGGGCAATAGGAATTGCAGGAGCAGGTCCATTTTGGAAAAAGCTGTCCCACCCTGGTAACAAAAAAACCTGACCATCCTGATGAAAGGTATTGTCCCCCTTGCAGGGCCTCCAGGAGTGTTAGCTTCAGACACAGGAATTAATTTGAAATCACTGGCTATAAAACTAAATGTTGTCATTTTTCTTTAGAGATGATATAAAGTACTTTTTTTTCTGGGTATAATAGCATTCTTGTTAGTGTTACTCTAATAAATATGTGTTTGGAATATATTAGTCACTTCCTACTTCTTCCAGAACTTCCTTTATTCTTTCAACTCTGTGTACCACGTTCCGTTCCACCTGTAACTCAGGAAGAGCAATGGTGCCCTCTTTATGCCACTGTCACGATGTGTGGGGATGGCATTTAGAATAGTCCCTGGCTTCTAAGAAGGATTCATTATAATAAGTCAGCCACAATCACCACCATCATCATTATTATTATTAAAATCTTAATATCTTGTATGTTCAGAAAAATTTAACTTGTTGGTCCATGTACTCAAACTTTGAAAAGGGTAGTAGGACAAAGTTACTCAGCTACTTGTTTTTCTAAACTAATTATTAATATGACAACACTGTTAGCACCTTTCCCCATGATTGCTTCAAACCTTTTTAAAATTCTTTGTTTTACTTTGTGGAGTAGGATTTTTATGCATAAATAAGGAACACGTAGTTAACTTTAAGACCAAAGCATATACTTGTATATGAGTCAGCTTCCCATGCAGCCTTATCTAGTTCTCAGCAAATGAACATTGTACAAAGAGGAAATGAGTCCTGGGGGTGTGAGGGTGGGAGGTTGGAGGTGGAGGGGGTCAATGGGGGGAAAAGGAGGATATATATAATACTTTCAATAATAAAGATAAATTTAAATAAAAGAAGAGGAAATGTTTAAGGTCAAACAAAAATATATATGACAAAGAGTTATTCTTTATGTTAATACAATACATAGATTGAACAATTCACACTGGAATTCACCAGCTAATAAAAATAAATATTTTAAAAGAAAATGTTAGTTCTACAGGTAAATATTTTTTTACTAATAGAAAACATTAGTTTGCAAATAAAACATTAGTTCTATAAGCATAATTAATTCCTAATTACATATACTAGACAATTAACATGAAACAATTTTATTACCTGCTGCAAGCGCTTCATCTGCAATTATTTTTTCAAAGTCTTCTCTTTCCACAGATTTTCTGAAAATATTTTAATATCTTAAATTATAAACTGACTTGTGAATGTTCAAAAGTTCAGATAATAACAGACAGAAATCATGACAAATAATTTCAGTAACTTTTTCTGGAGAGGCAAGTCTTGACTATCAAGTTTACAGAAAAGGAGCAGTTACATGTACAACCCAAAGCAATGTTGAAAACCCCCAGATATATCTGAATACGGAGTACTTCATCATTTTTTATGAAGTACTTGCCTTTTAACTGAACTTCACTTAAGCTAATACTATAGAGGCCTACACTGGCAGGGAACCAGGAGTATGAAATGACCCACAAGAAGAAAAACCTACATACTGATGGATTTCATTTTTAAGTATCACAATATTTTTCTAAAGTGAATATACAGTAGATTCTGTACATTTACTTTATAAACATACAGTAAAGCTTGTATATTTAACTCTCAGACATCTTTACATTAAGTGTTATCCTTGATCTTGTATAAAAATGAGTAACTAATCTATTCTTTATTCAATTACTGCACTGGTTTCTGTAGCATAGAAGTTGATAATGGCACACACATTCTGATTAATGATTTCAACTGGACAACTTGCTGATTCATGTCTACCTAATTTTTTTGTTGATGATTTCTGATAGTGATGACTGATCATGAGCAAATTTGCCAAACTACAGAAGCATATTTAAAGGCACCCAAGTTCTGATTGTGGTTCAGTATGCCATTAGACAAGCCAAGTTTACAAACAGGCATGAATCTAAAATTGTTTAATAGATTTCAAAGAACATGACACATGTAGAGAAGTTTCAAAAGGGAATATTTTTCAAGAAGGAAAATTGCTCAGTCCACTATTTTGTCACATAAGGGTATGTTGTTTATAATTATTTAGAATACTAGGTGGAAATATTTTCTTATTTTAACTGGTTGAAGAACACTAACTGGTATTATCTAGTTCGACTTTAGAGACCCCCAAACACTTTGATATATAGTACTCCTTTATAATACAACATCTGTATACTCTATTGTGTGCTCACCACCCAAAGACTAGTCTTTTATCATCAAACCCCTTGATATATATTGTTTTGTATTAATCAGCCTTTAATTGGCTCCTTTTTTGTCATTTAAGCAACTTCTTTTTTTTTCTAGAGAATGAGAGCAAATCTGCTCAGAGAACTATAATGCTGCCAATCCCCAGCACCCATCATATGAGATATGAGCAAAGTGAGTCCAAACAGCAGATAGTGCAATTCAAAATAAGCCCCCTCTCTTTATCTTCAAAAAGGAGGTAGAAGCTTGAATGTGTGCTACACACACACACATCAGCCAGGAGTTCATACATATGATGATGTGAGCAACAGATCCTAGAGAAATTAACAAAACAAAAGCTGTATGTGCAACCACTCCAGGGAGCTATCAGAATGGTTCTACTAAAACTCATTTACTTAAAAAATAGATGGTGGTGCGTAGGGAGCTCCAGTACTCCATTGAGGGACAGTTTATTATTTAATATATTGGTGTTTTGCTTTTCAAGAAAACATAAGAGAAGAAGCAGTCTGCAAAAGGGAGCCAGGTGTGTTCAGCAGTTGGCAAAATGAGAGCAGCAGAAACAGCAGTTGCCTTGTCAAAAAGATGGTGGTGCTGGTGGGAGACCCAGACACAAAGAGCATACGCAACAATTTTAAAAGGCAAAGCAGAGAGAAGGCATTTGGCATATCAACAGGCACTCTTATTAAAAAAAAAAGGGGGGGGGGCTCATCTTATTTCAACAACTGAATAATCACCACGAGGACAATTTAAAAGTATGATCCGCTCTATAAAAAGTCAGGCAAGTGGTTAAAGATGTTTCAAGATTTGCAAATAAAATATTTATTTTTATTTATTTATTTTATTTTTTTTAGTTTTGAGATCTTTAAAAGAGATACGCTGCTGGGAACACATCCTGAAGGAATGTCTGCCTCTAGCTTAGGAACATTCAGAACACAAAGCACTGAGAATAAATTTTGTGTGAACTGGCTGCCAAGGACTTAGGCAGACAGACACAGTAGCACAGCTAGGATGACTTGTGGCTATCTTATCAGCCTGACTGAGAATCAAGGTCGGGGGCTCTGGAATACTTTGCATATCGCTCCTGTAAACAAAGCTTCTGTCAGACACACGGGTTCACTCTCTCTCTCTGGACCCGTCTGGGACTCCTCTTGGCAGCCTGCTGCCTGCAGTCCGGGACCAGTTAGTCAGCAAGGAAAATTAAGCGCAGATAATCCACAGAACAGATTATTCACTCATGAGTAGCAGGGAGATGAATGAATTTATAAAATATCTCTGACAATGGTATTGGTTTGCAGAACGTCAATGTTCATCTCTGTAAATTTGAGCTCAAGTATTTATTCTATCATTGGCAGATTGAATAATCCTTGGCATTTCAGGGGATCGAAAACAAGGCCAAGTCAAATTACCCACCAGCAGTGACTGCGCCAAGATATAGTTGAAAAATGAACTATAGAAATCAGATTATTTTTTTAAATCACCTTATCTATTAAGCCTCTACAGAAAGCTAGCTTATTATAGATTAAGCCTCTACAGAAAGCTAGCTTAAATAAAATTTCAAAGACACAGTACAAGAAAAAAAAAAGTATAAACAGAACTGATATTTAGCCAGTGCACACCAGAATAACCATACCGGTTATAAAAAATACTGAAAATTTCCCTAAGGATTAATAGCTGCTGTCCCAAGGCCCCCGAATTCCCCACCCCCCATCCTTCTTCCATTTCATTTCCTCCTGATGCAGCACCTAAAGTCTAATTTGGGGGGAGGGAGAAGTGGGGAAGAGCGGGCACAGGAACCCTGCTTCAACCTTTTAGCAGTATTCATCAGCCAAGGACTGTGCACTGAGGGTGGGCATCCATGCCTGACCTGTTAAGTATTTTAGAAATCACCCTTAGTCTGAGAGAAGAGGCCTATGGGAGCTTGTTCAAAGCAGCAGTATATGGCAACAATGTTGAAATCATGGGCTCTGAAAAACCCAGCTTGGAAACTCAGTTCTGCCTTTTCCTAAACCCCTAGAAAATCCTAAACATTTTACATAAACTTGGAGCTTAGGGATGCATAACATTCGAAAATGCACTTATTTTCGGATTAGTAGCAGCTAAAACAGTCCAGTTTTTGGCATAGCATAGTGATTCAAAATATGTGGATACTTTCAGCAAGTGTTGGCTATTAGTAGTGGCCGCAGAGATGGTAATAAGAAGTTCACACAAATAAAACAGCTCAATTTACCTGCTTTCTTTGATTTTGTGTTTTGCCAGTGTCCGCTGAAGTGCAAAGTTCAGCCGCTCAAACTGAAAATCGAAAAGAAAAGTTGTAAACATTCCCTTAAATAATTGACTCGAAGATACATTTTAATCCTTCTCCCTGAAAGTTTCTTGCGAAGAAGCGGCTATGTTATCACTGTAATGATAAGTGTCATGAATTTACACTTTGGAAAGTGAGACTGGTTTTCCATGGGTTTTTCAAACTTGGGAAGAAACCATGAGCTCAGACTAATTTGAGTTTGGATGTGGGTTTGTGGGCCTCAGGCTTTACCAGTGGCGGGTGGTCGTCCTGACAGCCACGGACCAAGGTCAAGGTGAGTGGGAATACAAATAGAAGACTCCAGTTTGGCAAAGTCCGGTCTTCCATGAAGGAATTCTGGGCATCACTCCCTCTGGGTCGGGAAACCCCTTTGGATGTGCTACCAATACGTCAATGTCCGTGTGGCTCAAGCCAAGCCCACCCCTGTTCCTGTCACCAATTCCACATCCAGCCACGCCAGTGACTCCCCGCCCTTAACTCCACATGCATATTTATGTTTCATGTATCATTTACAGCCCCAGGTCTAGAAAACTCTGGCATTATCTGTCTCCCTTTCTTTTATCCCTTAAATCCAATCTGTTGCCAAAATCAGTTGATCACTGATTTGAAACAAATCTTGGATTTCCCCTAATTTGCACCGATTTCCTTTCTTTGAACTAATTATCTTCACCAAACACATGTAATTTTACTCTTTTTTATTGATTTCGTGAATTTTCCTATACTTCAAGATATTGCAGCCTCCATACTTTTTAAATACTTGACTCTCAATCTTTCTTAACAGTTTGCTGTCTCTGGTTAATAAGGGGAAGGAGAGCATTGGTAAACAGAGCTGACAATTTTTTTTTTTTTTTGCAGAGCATGTAAAAATCATATGTATCTACATGGGTATACATAACCGCTGGTTCTTTCTGTAGTTTAACGAGAGGAAAGTGAAGAAATTTCTGGCTCTATTCCAAGTTGGGAAATTCCTTTCTCCTTAAGCACTATTTATATCTCACTTAGAGTTTCCACTGGTTAAGGGAGGCAGTGGAGTTCAGCAAAATAGACCAAGCTTCTGTTTTAATAAAATAAATCATGGAAGGGACTTTCATTATAGAGCTTCGGAAAGATTTGAAATTTATTAGGAAAAAATGCAAGTGCCGAAAAGAAATAAAAAGAAAACTTAAATGTAGAATGTAGAACAGCTTCTCTGACTGGTCCGATAAAGAGAGGGAAGACATGTCTGCCTCAGGATGAAAGAAAGGCTGGAAGGTTCATGGATTTTAATACTTACTCCAGCCATAAAAACAAATTGGAGAGTAAAGTCTGATTATCTAAAATGAGAACTATAGTCTGTCCAATGGTATTTTGAGTCTCTTCCTTTGGATAACAGATAGAATTGTTATCCAAACAGTAAAAGAATTAAATGTCTACTTTAAAAATTTTTTAAATGCTATTTAATTAAAGACATGCAGATGTTTGGGCAGTTGATGGAATAATCTAGATTAGTATTACTCAGTCCAAATGTATGCAGCATTAGACCATTTACTGTTATAAGGCAAATGACCTCAGTTGTCAGAGAGGAGTTCTAGTGAATAATACCTACTGTACCTCTTCTGCCGCTTAGAATTCTTATAGTCTTGCCTTTCCATCTACTACCAAGCAGTATTGTCAAATTTTAATAAATACTTCTATGAGTTCACAAACAACAGAGATTATTCTAAACAAAGACAAAGAATCCAGTAAAATATCATTTATATTGATATTTGGAATGTTTTAGCACGTGGGTGACTTCTACTTTAGGAATTCGAAATCTATCAGACAAAATAATGAAGCCAACATGGCAATGACAAGACTCAGGAGAAGCACGGAAGCTCTCCAGCTTCCCCATCATTCCCATCATCCCCACCTGTTCCCCTCTGGGCACCTCACTCTGTCCTTGGAAACGAGACTACCAACCACTCCCGAGACTGGGATGCCAACCAACCAACTCCCTGACAAGGGCTACTTCCCTCATCCCAGCCAAAGCTGGCTGTCTAGTGACTAGAGTAGGATAAGAATAATTAAATATTTCTATTTCTAAGGTGGTTAACCAAAGTATTTTTGTGATGATATTATATTCAAAATTAGTCCCTTCAACTTTCAGCTAATTCTAATTCAAGCTTCAATTTAAGTATCTTCTTTCTCACTCACTGGAGCCCATATTGTTTGACAGCAGAAATTGCTCTAGCCTTCGAAAGCTGTGTGACTTTGGTCAAGTTACTTAGCTCGCCTAGTCCTTAGGGATGTGCTTCAATGCTTTGGTGTTGAGTCAATTAAAAATTACCAGTGGATTATGATAGCTGGAGTCTAATTCCGATCTCATCGGTTATGTGAGTGTCTATAAAACTGAACACAGATGGAGGGAAGAAGAAATCATGGAGACTTTCAGCTGCTCTTCTCTTTAGCCTGCAGGGGGAGAGGAGCTCCCGACATGCCTCTTCTATTCCTAAAATATTTGACCTAATGAAGTATATGCTCTATTCCCAGTGTTCTGTCACAGGTAGATTAACAGAAGATGCTCCATATCTCAAAATGATATTAGGCTAGGCAGCTCACAGAGCTATTTCAAGAAGTGTCTGAATTAACAACTCTGACACAAAGGACCAGGTCAAGCCTGGCCTGAGCAGAGATTTCAGACTCAGACACAGCAGGAAAAGGGAGATTTCCCCACCTCAACAAATTATCAGGGGACACATCTTACTCTTTGGATTCAGAAGAAGAAAACATGGCAGAAAAGAAGTTATTCTTCAAGGAACTTGATTTTAAAATAACAGTTGACAACTACTGGTCATTTATGGTATGGGAAGAGGTATGGATCACTTCACTCCATGTTCATTAACACTCTCAAACAGAGAGACTGTCATTGTTTCCATTTTACAGATAAGGAAGCTGATGCTAAGGGGCTAAGCAGTTGCTCAAAAGCTTGTCAGAGTCAGGATCCTTTTGAAAACAATTCAAGATGTTAAACATTTTAAGAGGAACACAATTTAAGACGATGATTGCTTTAAAGGAATGCTTTTCTGTGTTTCCAGGAAACATCTATCAGAGACTTGAGAGTGAGAAAGCAAGTGTTTACGTTTTCGTTAGAAAACCATTATTTTAGAATTTTCAAAATATCAGTAACATCCTGAACAGGGCAAGCACTCACCTCGGGGAAAATCAGTTTGCAAATGCTCTCTGCCAAAGTGTGAAGGTAGACGCGGCTCCGACTGGTCTTCCTTTGAGGGAGACTTCCTTGCACATTCTTCTCAGGGGCGTCCTGACAGATGGGCAGGGTGGCTGGGCAGCTCTCTGCGTTTCCCGCCACCTCCTCTGCTGGCTCTTTTGGAGCCTCCCCTGGTGCCAGTAAGGAGAAAGGACACTCCCCTGTGATCTTGAGATCCTTCAGCTTCGTACAGAACATGGTGTCAGTGGCCTCAGCCTGCTGTGGATCTCGTCCTGGTGAGCTGCTCTTCTTATGTGGGACTGACAAATGGAAGCCACGATCAGCTCAAGGACACTGGTGATGGGAATGTCTGCGGGCAGTAGAAAGTTGGAACAGAGAGCGAGTGACTTAGTGCACTTACGAAAACAGAAAAAGACAGGTGTGAACAAGCAAAGACCACAGAGTCATATTGCGTTTTTCAAGTAAAAAAAAAAATCTGGTGGGAATCTAATCTAATAATAGACAAACAGGGTAATTGACCATACCTTCGCTACGCCTCCCATTGGCTAATCAGTGTGATATGCAAATTAACCGCCAACAAAGATGGCGGCTAATTTGCATACTGCAGCCAGTGCGAGCCGCCATCCTGGCCCCCGTGTGCAGCCTAAGCCCCACCCCCAGCCGGGACCCCCGTGTGCAGCCCTGGGCGGGCGGGACCCCCGTCTACAGCCCTGGGCGGAGGGGCTTGGCGGCACGATTGGCCCGAGGAAGCCCTATTCTTGCAGGAATCCTCCTGCAACGGGATTCTAGTGCCAATTATAAAATAGATGGAACATTTGGTAAAGATCTATAATATTAGGGCATTGGAAACTAAAGAGAAAATAAACAAATGGGACTACATCAAAATAAAAAGCTTCTGCACAGCAAAAGAAACCATCAACAAAACAAGAAAGCCCACTGCATGGGAGAACGTATTTGCCAATGTTATCACTGATAAGGGTTTAATCTGCAACATTTATAGGGAACTCATACATCTTAACAAAAGGAAGATAAACAATCCAATCAAAAAATGGGCAAAGGACCTAAATAGAAACTTTTCAAAAGAGGACATTCAGAAAACCAAGAGACATATGAAAACATGCTCAAAGTCACTAATCATCCGAGAGATGCAAATCAAAACAACAATGAGGTACCATTTCACACCTGTCAGAATGGCTATCATCAACAAATCAACAAACGACAAGTGCTGGAGAGGATGTGGAGAAAAAGGAACACTTGTGCACTGCTGGTGGGAATGCAGATTGGTGCAGCCACTATGGAAGACAGTATGGAGTTTCCTCAAAAAACTAAAAATGGAACTCCCATTTGACCCCGTGATCCCACTTCTAGGAATATATCCCAAGAAAACAGAAACACCAATCAGAAAGGATATATGCACCCATATGTTCATAGCAGCACAATTCACCATAGCTAAGATCTGGAAACAGCCTAAGTGCCCATCAGTAGATGAATGGATTAGAAACTGTGGTACATCTACACAAGGGAATAACTATGCTGCTGTAAAAAAGAAGGAATTCTTACCATTGCAACAGCATGGATGGAACTGGAGAGCATTATACTAAGTGAAATAAGCCAGTCAATGAAGGAAAAATACCACATGATCTCACTCATTTATGGATAATAAAGACCATTATAAACTTACGAACAAAAATAGATACAGAGGCAGAGCAACCTCGAACAGACTGTCAAACTACAGAAGGAAGGCCGGGGAGGGTTGGGGGCAGGAGGGGAGGGTAAGAGATCAACTGAAGGACTTGTATGCATGCATATAAGCATAACCAATGGACATAAGACACTGGGGGGAAGGGGAGACCAGGGGATTGTCAAGGGCGGGAAAAAAGGAGACATATGTAATACTTTTTGTAATACTTTAAGCAATAAAACAATTAAAAAAAAGATCTATAATATGTGTGCATTTTGGTATACTAGTAAAATACTTGCTTTTAATATTTTAATATTTTTCAAATGGAACATAATTTTCTCCAAAGTGTCCTCATTAACACAAACTACTGGTGTCCATTTTTATAACCCTTTTAGGCTAGTTTGATTTCACATTGGTGGAACAATATGGTTTTAAGACAGAAGCCAAATCTAAATGTAGTTTTATTAGTGCTCATACTACTACATTCTCACTATGCTATCACTTCTGATAAATCAGAATAGCAAAAACTAATGTCTCTCAAACATACCCAAATATATATACTTGATGCCTAAGTACATTTTTTTCAGATCTAAAACATTGAATATATATTTTCAGAACTGAAACACTGTCTGGTTATAAGTTCAGCTTATAAACAATTCTAATGATCGTGATTAACTGGGTTCATCATTCTTGGAAAATAAAAAACACACAAAAAAGAGTGGAAAAGAACCTACGTTTATTCACCCCGTTCTATATGCCTGGGAACTCTGTACTTACATTTAAGCCTCACGGGAGTCGTTTGATCCTCATAGCAACCATATGGCACAAACATTCTTATTCCCAACGAGCCAGATGCTTGAAAGTTTAGGTCATTTACTTTAGTTTGAAATGCTAGAAAGTGATGGAGCTTGAGTTCAAAGGTAGGTCCATCTCACTCCAGAGCCAATGCATTTTCTACTAACTCAAGCACAAATGATACTGGTTTCTAAATAATAAGGCTTAATTTAGAAACTAGGATTAGTTTATCTTAAAAGTGGCTTAGAAGTTTATATTAAAGAGCCAACAAGAACATAATTCTCCTGTTCATTGGCTGGTGGTATTTGAATTATCCAGGATAGAGCCTTATACTTCCGTCTTTAGAACCGGAGTTCAGTTCTTTTCTTTTCTTTACTATGCGCCTAAATGCTCTTAATATATTCTTAATATGCATAAGCAATAGCTTTTAATTTGTCACAGGTAAGTTATCTAATAAGTTTAGAGCAATGGACAATTCCTTTTCTGAACTGAAACAAATAGGAAGCCTAAATTACCATCTGACAACCTTTGGGCTCTCATGGATATGGAGTAGGTGAAGATTATGGATGCTGACAGGCCAGAAGAAGCTGCCAGTATTCTCTATTATTTAAAGTCATACCCCAAATCTGTGTTTACATGTAATTTATGAATCTTTAAGAAGGTACAAGGAAGACCCTATATATTCAGGAGCAGAAAACATATTCTGCCAGAATAGAATAGGTAGCTATCTCAGCAGGCTACTGAGTGTCTCAAAGGCAATTTGGCAGTAGGTGCAATGGTTACTTGGATTCCGAAAGACCTAAAAACTTAAAGCTCTCAATTGTATTCCTTGGAAGACTCAGTTTCACAAATATTTGTTTCTCGGGCTTTAATGCATATCAGCATAACTCTACTACTATTTACCAATTCCTGACCTCATGTAGGGTTTAGATCTGTGGTCAGCAGGCCTTTCTGTAAAGAGCCAGAAAGTAGGTCTCTATCACTGACCCAGTTCTGTCATTTTTGTATGAAGGCCATAGCTGCTATACAAAGGAATCAATATTGATGTCCTTCGATAAAACTTTATTTGCAAAAACAGGCTGTAGATTTGCTATACAGGCTGTAGTTTTCTGACCCCTGGTTGTGAAAAGCTGAGCAAGTTAACTGAAACATTTTAATCCAAATATAATTTTGACTATAGGACAAGTTACTTCCTCATCTCCCAAAATATAACAGCCTCTGCAGATCCAGTTTTGCACAACGTGAAAGTAACAAAAGACATTATAGTAGATGGTATTAAATAATTATTGATTTATAATAAGCATAACACCATTATTTTGTATTAGTTTTCAGGAAGAAGAGCTGTAGTAACTGAATGCCATGATTTAAGTTATATTTTGATGTAACTACAACAATTACAAGAAGAAAACATTAGAGGAAGAATCATTAGAATTTTTTGAGGGTATTCAAATAAAAGCAAAAGTGATAAAAAATAGAATTCTGATTATAGGTTGAATGTAATGAAGGTATAGAACTACTTCCTAAAATAAGTTATTCTGGGGCACATTAGAACTTAAATATTGGATTTAGGAGTTTGCTATAATTTCATTTATGATAACGTTTTTCATCAGCTTAATCTTCTCATTAACAATGGATTTCAACTCTTGCCCTGAAACTCAATATTTTCATTCTCATCTTCCTATTCAATCTCACTGTGGCAGGATACAACTGACTACCCATCCTTCCTTGAGATTCTCCCCTATTACACAGTTCTATAACTTCCAGAAAACTGTGCCTAACACTGTTTTTAATTAAACTAAAAACAGCAACAGGAAACAAGTTGTACCTACTTCAAGATCAGTTAAGTGTTTAGTCTCATTAAATCACAAACGTATAAACAAACTAATTAGCATTCTTCATCTGTTCAACTGATGAAATTACACTATGAAACAGATGCACGCAGTGCTGATACCTTGGAAACCTATGTTTGTCTTATGTTTGCCTGCCAGGAAGACAGAACAGGTTCCTCAACCCAACCAGTGATGTTTTTTACATGTAACACTAGTGGTAACTTCACAAATGACGTGGTCACTTGCAACTTAACACATAGCTTATGATAAAAATGAGAACAACCTGTTAAGGAGAAAACACATTAATTATAGTAATAAATTTGGTGGCAAAGGCTTGGCAAACAGTGGCCCTGTATGTTCTCAGAAATTCAGAGAAATATTTGCCATTCCCAAAGTTGATGATTAAACAGCCTCCAAATATACTGAATGCTCTCTCCTTCTTACTAGTAAGTGATTAACTACTGTGGTGAGAATAATGGTCCAGCTCTTGGCCTCATATTAATAATCAAGATGCCTTACTGTTCAGGTAAGGGGGCTCTTCATCAGTTCAACTCTCAGAGCTAATTAAGCACAAAAGTCTTTTTCTACAAGTAAAATGACCCGAAGAAAACACCCCACAGGTAGTCTCTGACACACAAAGCCTTTTTTACAAGAGCAGATCTTAAATTAGAAATGGTGTGTGTGTGTGTGTGTGTGTGTGTGTGTGTGTAACCTAAGAACTAAATCTCCATATATCCAATGATCAATGTCAGAACTAGCAACTAGTCATGCAAAAATCTGTGGTTAAAGATATATACTAGTAAGAGGCCCTGGCTGGGTAGTTAAGTTGGTTAGTGGAAAGGGCACATACAAGAATCAACCCATTAATGCATAAGTAAATGTAACAACAAATCAATGTTTCTCTCACTCTCTTCCTTTCTTTCTCTCTCTAAAATCAATTAAAAAAAGAGATATAAGTGTTTTAAGATGAAATTCCAAAGTCCAGATTTTTAAGAGTAGCTGAAAGGAACTGAAAACTAAAACAAACGGCCTTAGTAAGGATAA